AGGTGGATCAAGCAAAGGTGGAGGTCATCGAGAAGTTACCACCCCCAATTCTGTGAAAGCCATCGAAGCTTCCTGGACACGCCGACTTCTATAGAAGATTCATCTAGATTTTCTAAAACTCTAAACCTCTTTTGTGATTTATAGCTAAGGATACACCTTTTAATTTTACTAAGAGTGTTTAGAAGCATTTGATGCTAAAGCTAAATTGATATCTGCTCCTATAATTGTTATGCCCATTGGGATTACCTTTTGAATTATGTGTGATGTTAGTGACTATGCAATATAAGCTGTATTAGGGATTCTTGGGGGAAGAATTAGAGGAGGCTAACGCAAGAGAAGATCAAAGTGACAAAATTTCTAAAGCTTTTGATGGCAATATAGAGAAATCTTATTTCTTCTTTGAACTCATGTTTCTTATTTCAATGAAGAGATTGTTTCTTTCATTGATTATGAACTAAATTTATTATCTAGGGCTAAGACGTAGCCCAATCTCTTGATTATGTGTTGATTTATTATTTTGATTTTTATTAGAATTTTCCTAAGTTTTACATTATACCTAATGCTTTGATTCTTAAGGCCCAACAATTGAATGAAACTAATGGAATAGGTTGAGATCGAGAGAGCTATAGTTGGTCTATGGTGTAAAACCATAGGTGAGCGAATGCAGAGATATGTTACGTGACTTGTGAGGTTCTGTGAAACTCCATAGAGCGTAGTGATCTTCAATTGCTTAAATCTGTTAGAGATAATTGGGTTAGTAATTGGAGTTAATTCGATAATTGTTTGAGAGAAATTTATGGAAATTTAGGGAGTTTGACCTATAGGAAAGCTTAATAAAATAGCATTAGTGATCGATACATGATAAGAGTTGGTGTGAAATCTATACCCTGGTCTAGTCACCTGTTTTAACCCAAAGATTTGTTTTAATTGTTCTCTTTCAGTTCTCTTTTTAATTTCATTATTAATTATAATTTTATTTTTTCCTGATACAATTTGGATTGATCAAATAGTAATAGGATAGTTTAATTGGTAATGATAATAGTAATTCCCTTGGGTTCGATATCCATATTTATACACTTTATACTTGCACGATTTCGTACACTTGTGAAAATCCACAACACTAGTTTTCCCAAATCACAAGCCAATTTTCCTCTTGAACTCATCCATAGTGACATATAGGGCCCTACACCTTTTCTCCATGAAGGTTTTCAGTATTATGTGCAATTTTGAGATGATTTCAGTAGGTATACTTGGCCTTTTCCCCTTAGAACTAAGGCTGGTTAGATCTATATTCATTAAGTTTCATCATTAGCTGAAAGACAACTTGGTTTAAGCTTAAGTGTATCCAATCTGATACAGGAGGTGAGTATAAGATTACTACCACTAACTAGTGAGGGAATTTAGTTTAGTTCTTGTGTTAGAGTAGGTGCTTAGAGCCAACAATTATTGTAGAATTGACTCTTTGTAATAACTCATGATCAATAAAAGATATTTTTATTTATAACGTGTAAATCATATATATGATTGATAATGTCCTTAAAATGGTAGAACCATGACGGGGGTTCAAGTGTTTCAAATCTTGATATTGGAGACACCTATGAGCACAATGATGGCATTCTAGAAACGTGAGACCTCATATTATTTGACCAAGGACATAATAATATGGTAAGTATCATAGTGTTGAACAACCTGTCGAAGGTAGTGACAGATCTCACTTATCAAGTTATGGGTGACAACAGTGTAAACATGGTGCTTGCTGTAGGCAAGTTTACTAGATTGACCATCGAGAGGATTCCAATAGATGGTAACCCCAGTGTCTATAGAATAAATCCTCAACGAATGGTGGTGCATGTGATCCTTAGACTTGAGATCACCAGAGCACCTTTGCACCGATTGGTATAGTTGACATAGCCTAACGCAGTTCATTCAGAGCTATCAATACAGTGTGATTGGTGCATCCAGGAGTGTATCAAGACTATGGTGGATCGAAAGAGGATTCATCACTCCTGGGTACGGGAGAAGTTATCTCAGGAGAAATTTAGTAAATGGCAAGACAAAGACACTAAAACTGTGGCCACGTGGGATTGAGTTGTTGCTAATCTAATTTATTATTACGTCATAGTCCAGTAACTGAAAACATATATATCGAGAATAATTGAGGTTGATACTATTTATGTACCTCAATTGATGAGATAACAATGATGAAAGGATTTGATTGCATAGTAACCATATCATTGATAGGAAGCTACTTCTGAATCGAATATATGGGTGGCCATAATTAAATCTGTGTGTAGTGAGACGATTAATTGGTGTTAATTGCAATACTACACACTGTCGGTATGATGAGGAGCATACAGGTCACACACATAGAAGATAATTAAGAATCAGTTTGTGCAAGGGGCATTTTGTCCTTTAGGGTGAAAGGTATTTTGGAATCTCACAGTCAATTAATTTATTGAGGTTGTTGCCTATATTAATTTGATATTAAAATTAAATGAGTGAGTTATATTTAAATATGTACACATATATTTAAATGGATTATATTTATTGTTAAATGTTACTATATTTCTATAAATATATTAATTGGTTTAATTGAAATAATAATAATTAAATAAAAATATTATGATGGCAATGTTTGGACATAGGGGCTTTGGGTTGAAGCCCAAGCCTATTCTCATTGGAATAGGGTTTCACATGCACTATAAGTGCATGTGTTTGTGATTTTAGAAGAGAGAAATATAACAAGTATTCAATCATTTTTCATTGAAAGAAAAACACAGCCCCTCTAAGTCTCACGCCACCCTGGTTCATTGAATCAAAGTTTCTTTGATTCTTGAAGCTAAAGAGGATCTAGCATGTAACACCTACTGAAAACTAGTACAATGCATGCAATTAACAATGGAAAATTGGCCCAAAATGTTTCTTTTCATTACAATTCACATGTCTTTTATACCAAAGGTTACTGTTTACAAAAGTGCATTTTAAAAGACAAAATAGGGGAACAGTGTAGCTATGCTCCTCGCCCGCCGACGCCCCTCCAACCGCATCAACACCTAGAACTGCATCCACAAAGGAAAAATACGGGGTGAGCACAAATAATGCTCAGTAAGTAAAACTCTCTAACTGTCTGTCCCGTGTGTGACTCTTATTCTTTCCTTTTCTAATTCTGTTTCTATTTGTTTCTAATACATCATGTCCTCATTTACCGGAGGTACGGCGGATGGCGTACCAACAGCACATTCACTCTCTATGGCTATCGGGTGGAATTCACCACAGTACCAACCCTTTCTTAGTGACTACCGAGTGAGGATCACAAAGCACCACTCGGTTCCTCCTAACTATCGGGTAGGATCACCTAGCACCTACCGTTCCTCATGAATTTGGGTAATGACACCAAGCATTTACCGTCTCTAGTCACTATCGGGGATGATCACAAAGATCAACCCGCTTTCTGCTAGCCGTTGGATGATGATCACAAAGCATCAACCTACATATCTTTAACTAATCGGGTATGGGTCACAAAGCATCACCCTTCTTATTACTCAGGGTGACGATCACTAAGCATCGACCATCTCTCTAAGGCTATTCGGATGATGTCAACAAAGCATCAATCCGATTCCATAACGGTCGGGTGATGATCACAAAGCATCATTCCAACATACTACTCTTCTCATCATTTATGTAGCATTTTTCAATGCTCTCTACCCTTAGGGTAATTTTACCCACTAACTCTCTACTCATAGGGTATTTCTATACACAAAGTTTCCTACTCTTTTTTAGGCACTTTTCAATGCATATAGCAATGCACATGGATGATTCATCTCTACTAATGCACTTGTGAAATGCCAACATGCAATGTTGCAGGAATTAAGGTTCATTTCTCACACTCAAACCTCTATTGGGCATTTCATCAACAACTCATGTGCACTATAAGAATCTATCATAGCCATGAATCTAAAACTTTTCCTAACCATCCAAAATGGGGAAAAACCCCTTACAAAGCCATAATAACCTGCCAAATAACACACTTCCAAAAAGGGTTTCATAACCCCCCTTCAAATCATCTCAACTACTTGCCAATCCAACAATCCATTTCTCATATTACAAGTATTAACATTCACAAAGCATAGAAATCTTATTCATACATACATGGCATATACACATGTATCACATACATACATCATTACTATTAAAACCCTAATCAAGAAATTTCATAACTCAACTTGGGTTGGGTTTTACTTACTTGCTATGGAGAGACTTCACCCATCTTCTTTCCACTTGGTTTTCTTGGTATTCTCTCTACTCTTAACCAAAAGAATGAAAACCCCAAAAACCAAAATGAACTAAAATCTACAAATCACTCAACTTAAGGAGAAATCCTTACCTTAGGAAGCCTTAGGTTGTTTTCTATACCCCAAATCACTTCAAAATCCCTTGAAATTCCTTGAACAAAAGAAAAGAGAAGTGAGTGAGAAGAATGAAGAGTTGCGTTTTTGGAGAAGAAGAATGAGGGTTTCTTTGATTCTAAATCCTTTTAATGAATATAAACACACTCATTCCCATTTTGCCTTATCTTCTGGAAATTCCACCATATCCTTTGATTCATTACAAACTCACCCCATATAACATATCTCCATGTAAAATCCTTACAATTCACTCCCCACTTTTCCTGCTAATAGGGGTGAAGGGTCAAATTGTCCTTAGGGAAGAAAATGTCTAAAACTCAACCAACATGAAAATCGGCCCGTCGCCGCGGCGAAGAAACTTATGTCGACGAAGTTAGTGAAAGCCGGTCCAGGAGATTCACACTGGTTAACCCAACGCATTTATCATTTCTACAAGTTTATTCCTATACTTTAATCAACAGCTTTGGCATGGCCTCTTATTTTTCTTCAATTAATAGTTATTTTAGACCCATCTAATTAATGTTGCTCTTTTGTAGATTTCTTAATTTATATGCAGAGAACCTGGTGCAGAAAAGAAATTCAAGGAAATAAGCAATGCATGCATATGAGGTAAAAAGTTCAATCATGTGGTTATTTTAGTTTGTTATTTGCGGTTAAGCCAAGGTTAATGATCTGAAGTGTTTTTATTTTTCAAGTGATGAAGTTATTCTATACTGTAAAGGTATTGTCAGATAATGAAAAACGATCCTCGTATGACAGGCATGGAGAGGCTGGACTTAAAGCTGCTGCTAGGGGGTAAGTTGAATTTTGCACACTCTGAATAAGACCATCTATTTCAAAATACATTATTTATTTGGATACTTGCATTGCCTGCTTCTCATTGTTGGAATTTCCTTGACTAAACCAGGATTTTAGCAGTCCTTTTGATTTGTTTGAGTCATTATTCGAGGGCATGGGTGGTATGGGCGGTATGAAGGGCAGAGCAGTTGATGGACAGGATGAATATTACAGCTTTATCCACTTCTTTGTAACAAAAAAAAAAAAAATTGGTGACAAACCAAAACTAAAAAAATAGAACCATAGAAACTCAAACAAATAATCAATCAAGAAGAAACACGCTTCATCAAGTCGACCAAATTTAACATACATTTTCATAACAGAGTTAGCTAAAGGTATCTCATTACTCAACAGTCCAAGTTTAAAAACGCAACAATGTATTGATAAGCCTAACATGCCAATAACAACTCTAAGTGAACAACGAAAGGACGCGTATAATAATGGCACCAATTCACAAGATATCAAACAAAAATCAAGTATTTCAAATCAATGCAATGTCAATAAATGAAAACACATTAGCTTCTCAAAATTTGAAATCAGATTCAATGTTACCATGTGAGAGAACTAAAGAATCAAAAATTGTACTTACGGGAGGTTAGGGGCTGCCTCGTATTGGATGAATGAAGGAAGCTAAGAAGATCAATTGAAAGATGAAGATGCGTGGAGAAGAGATGAAGTCAGGTTCTGCATTTTGGAAATTTGGGCAACATCGATTAAGATGAAGACGCGTCAGAAGAGAAGAAGATGCGTGGGGAAAAGATATGAAATTTGGGTTGTGCGTTTGGGAAATTTGGGGAAAAGGCTAGGGCAAAGATGCGTGGAGAAGAGATATGAAATTGACAAAAATGCTTGCCTTATATAGGTTAGGGTATTTTGTAAATAACTTAAAAAAGTAAGGGTTCTAATTAGTTATTTAATTTTGAAATATAATTCTATTTTGTAAATAAGTTTATTTGTAACTAAAAATTTAGTCAGTAAAGAATTAGTGTTAGTTGCCTATAATTTAGGTCTGCGGGAACAAATAATTTAGGGGGAATATGAATTTTTTAACTTAAATTGGCAACTAAATCAAATTTAGTTGCTGTCTATACTTTGGGGCCCTTGTAATTACTGTCCAAATATGGGATATTTTGGTAATTTCATTTTTCTATAACTAATCATAATAGTTACTAATAAATCCCTAATTATTCGTAACTAATTTAACTACTAAGGGGTAGTTGCAAAAAATTGTTTTTTGTAACAAAAAATGTATATGCAAAATATAATATTTTAGATGCAAATTATCAAATTTTGGAGGGAAAAATCACCAGGAAAAAATTGCAACTAAATTTATTAGTCATAAAGCAACCGGTTCTGTGACTAACAAAATAGTCGCAAAAAATTAACTTTAGATGCCAAAATGTTGGAACATGTGGGCTCCAAAATTTTAATCTTCTTTACTCGACTAATGTCAATTTTGTTGGTAAATGTAGCATTTCTGCAACTAATTCTGGTTAGTTGCTAAAAAATTGGTTGCAAAATGTCAGTTTTCTTGTAGTGATCCCAACCTGCATATCGCAAACTTTTTGGAGCTTGCGACACGTTCAAACACAATGGAGTATCCAATGATGCAATTAGGCTTAGACTTTTCCCATTCTTTCTTCAGGATAAAGCTAAGGCTTGGTTGATTTCTCTGCCATCAGGAAGTATTACTACATGGAATGAGTTAGTTCAAGCATTCCTTATGAAATATTTCCCACATGTCAAGTCTGCTAAGATGAGGAGTGACATCACAAATTTTTTCCAGCAAGATATGGAGTCAATCCATGAAGCTTGGGAGAGGTATAAGGATCTCTTATGGAGGTGTCCTCACCATGGGCTGCTAATATGGTCGCAGGTGCAGACGTTTTACAATGGGTTGTTGCCAAATATACAAGTGATGATTGATGCTGCAAATGGGGGAGCTTTGAATAACAAAACACTAGAGGAGGCTTATATTCTGATTGAAGTAATGGCGAGCAATAACTATATGAGGCCTTCAATGAGAAATTCAACAAAGAAAGCAGCGGGAGTGCATGAAGTTGATGGCTACACCGCATTGGCCGCTTAACTCTCAACTATCCAAAAGCAATTGGGAGTTGCCCTAAATGTAAATGCTATTGAATCGTCTTCCCTAACTTGTGAACTTTGTGTAGGAAATCGTTTATCGAAGGATTGTCAAGAAGGAAATTCATTTGCTCAACCGGAACGAGCTAACTATGTCAACAACTTTCAACGAGGGCAAGAGAATTCGTATTCTAGCACATACACTCCAGCATGGCACAATCATCCAAATTTTTTGTGGAGTAACAATAATGAGCACAAGCCACCACCGGGTTTTCAACCTCAAAAGAAGAGATCTAATAGGGAGAGTATGTTCACTAAGTTCATAGAGGAGTCGGGAAAAAGATTTGACAAGAATGAATCTCAACTCCAAAAGTATGAAGTTTTGTTGCAAAATCAATCTGCTTCCATAAGAAATCTTGAAACTCAAATGGGGCAAATCCATAATATTTTAGAAGGAAGAGTTCAAGGAACATTTTCGAGTGATACCGAGAAGAATCCGAAGGAGAGAGTCAATGCTATCATACTAAGAAGTGGTAAGGAGTTGAAGGAAGTAAAGAAGAAAGGAGAAACAAAGGAAACTCAAAGAAGAAAAAAATGGCAGAACCAAGTGTGCCACAACACAGTGTCGCGGCACAGGAGAAGACAAAAGAAAGTGTGTCACAGCACAATGTCATGGCACAGAAGAGGGCATAACTAAGTGTGCTGCGGCACAAGGGCAGAAAATGACAAAAATGCCCAGGCTTTGACGAATGATGACACGACTCTCCCGTATCCTCACAAAGTGCAGAAATAGATATTAGATAAGCAATTAAGTAAGTTCATGGACATGTTTAGAACTTTACACATTAACATTTCTTTTGTAGACATGTTGGAGCAAATGCCAAAGTACGCGAAGTTTCTGAAGGAGATTATCACCAAAAAGAGAAGGTTTGAAGAACATGAGACGGTGATGCTTAAGGAAGAGTGTAGCGCATTGCTATTGAAGAAATTACCACAAAAGCTCAGAGATCTAGGGAGTTTCACAATTCCTTGCACAATAGGTAATGTTCATTTTACTAAAGTTTTATGTGACCTATGAGCTAGTGTTAACCTCATGCCATTTTCAATTTATAAGAAACTAGGCCTAGGGCAAATAAAACCAACCACAATCCATCTTCAATTAGCTGATAGGTCTATAAAATATCATAGGGGAGTAGTAGAGGTTGTCTTGATAAAGGTAGATAAGTCGATTTTCCCAGTGGATTTTATTGTTCTTGACATGGAAGAAGATCGGGAAGTACCTCTAATTCTAGGAAGACCCTTTCTAGCTACGAGTAAAACTTTAATAGATGTTCACCAAGGGAAGCTAATCTAAAGAGTAGAGGATGAACAAGTAGAGTTTAATGTGCTTGATGCCCTAAAATACCCATCCAAGGGAGATACTTGTTTGAAATTAGTGTCATTGATTATGTCATTGCCAAAACCATGAAGAGAATTACCCAAGCTCCCTCTTAGAGAATTGTCTAGTTAACGCGAGGACAAATGAAGATGAAGTGGATCAAGAAGAGTTGAAAGGGTGTTTAAGTTTCTTAAATTCTCTACCATCAATGAAATCACCACCCACCAAGAAGTTCTTTTAGATTAATGCCATAGAAAGTCACTCCAACTCATCAACAAAGGAGCCTCCGAAACTCGAACTCAAACAACTTCCATCTCACTTAAGGTATGCATTTTTAGAAGACTCAAAGTTTTATCTTGTTATTATTAATGCTTCTTTGAGTGATGTAGGAAGAAAAACTATTAAGGGTGCTACGGACATACAAGGCAGCTATCAGATGGACAATTGCAGACATCAAAGGTATAAGCCTCTCAATTTGCATGCACAAGATTTTAATGGAAGAAAGTTATAAGCCAATAGTGCAACCATAGAGAAGACTCAATCCAACAATGCAAGAAGTGGTGAAGAAAGAGGTTTTAAAGTTGTTGGATGCAGGAATCATTTACCCAATTTTGGATAGTGCATGGGTAAGTCCAATCCAAGTTGTACCAAAGAAGGGAGGAATGACCGTGGTGGAAAACGACAACAATGAACTCATTCCGACAAGAACGGTTACAAGGTGGCGAGTGTGCATTGATTATCGGAAGCTTAACTCTGTGACACGCAAAGATCACTTTCCACTTCCGTTCATCGATCAAATGCTAGAGAGATTAGCGGGCCATGAATTCTATTGTTTCCTAGATGGATACTCAGGATACAATCAGATTGCAATAACACCAGAAGACCAAGAAAAGACTACATTCACATGCCCATATGGAACATTTGCATACCGAAAGATGTCGTTTGGACTATGCAACGCACCAGCCACTTTTCAACATTGCATGATGTCCATCTTCTCGGATATGGTGGAGAACTCCATCGAGATTTTTATGGATGACTTCTCTGTGGTAGGTAATTCCTTCGATTCTTGTTTATCTAACCTTTCTTTAGTTTTGCAAAGATGTGTAGAGACCAATCTAGTACTAAATTGGGAAAAGTGTCACTTCATGGTACAAGAAGGAATCGTACTAGGCCATATAATTTCCATCAATGGGATCAAGGTGGATCAAGCAAAGGTGGAGTTCATCAAGAAGTTACCACCCCCAAATTCTATGAAAGTCGTCTGAAGCTTCCTTGGACACTCCTGCTTCTATAGGAGATTTATCCAGGATTTTTCTAAAATCTCTAAACCTCTTTGTGATTTATTAGCTAAGGATACACCTTTTAATTTTACTAAAGAGTGTTTAGAAGCATTTGAGTGCCTAAAAGCTAAATTGATATCTACTCCTATAATTGTTATGCTCGATTGGGAATTACCTTTTGAATTAATGTGTGATGTTAGTGACTATGCAATATAAGCTGTATTAGGGATTCTTTGGGGGAAGAATTAGAGGAGGCTAACGCAAGAGAAGATCAAAGTGACAAAATTTCTAAAGCTTTTGATTGGCAATATAGAGAAATCTTCTTATTTCTTTCTTGAACTCATGTTTCTTATTTCAATGAAGACGATTGTTTCTTTCATATTGATTATGAACTAAATTTATTATCTAGGGCTAAGACGTAGCCCAATCTCTTGATTATGTGTTGATTTATTTATTTTGATTTTTATTAAGAGTTTTTCCTAAGTTTTACTATTATACCTAATGCTTTTGATTCTTAAGGGCCCAAGAATTGAATGAACTAATGGACTAGGTTGAGATCGAGAGAGGCTATAGTTGGTCTATGGTGGTAAAACCATAGGTTGAGCGAATGCTAGAGATATGTTACCGTGACTTGTGAGGTTCTGGTAAACTCCATAGAGCGTAGTGATCTTCAATTGCTTAAATCTGATTAGAGATAATTCGGGTTAGTAATTAGGAGTTAATTCGATAATTGTTCGAGAGAAATTTATTGGAAATTTAGGGAGTTTGACCTATAGGAAAAGCTTAATAAAATTAGCATTAGTGATCGATACATATGAATAAGAGTTGGTGTGAAATCTATACCCTAGGTCTAGTCATCTTGTTTTAACCCAAAGATTTGTTTTAATTGTTCTCTTTTCAGTTCTCTTTTTAATTTCAATTATTAATTTTATTAATTTTATTTTTTCCTTGATACAATTTGGATTGATCAAATAGTAATAGGATAGTTTAATTGGTAATTGATAATAGTAATTCCCTTGGGTTCGATATCCATATTTATACACTTTATTACTTGCACGATTTCGTACACTTGTGAAAATCCACAACACTAGTTTTCCCAAATCACAAGCCAATTTTCCTCTTGAACTCATCCATAGTGACATATAGGGCCCTACACCTATTTTCTCCATTGAAGGTTTTCAGTATTATGTGCAATTTTTAGATGATTTTAGTAGGTATACTTGGCCTTTTCCCCTTAGAACTAAGGCTGAGTTTAGATCTATATTCATTAAGTTTCATCATTTAGCTGAAAGACAACTTGGTTATAAGCTTAAGTGTATCCAATCTGATCAAGGAGGTGAGTATAATTGATTACTACCATATCTAACTAGTGAGGGAATTTAGTTTAGATATTCTTGTGTTAGAGTAGGTGCTCTAGAGCCAATCAATTATTGTAGAATTGACTCTTTGTAATAACGTTCATTGATCAATAAAAAGATATTTTTATTCTATATCGTGTAAATCATATCTATATGTATTGATATATGTCCTTAAAATGGTAGAACCATGACGGGGGTATCAAGTGTTTCAAATCTTGATATTGAGAACCCTATGAGCACATATGATGGCCATTCTAGAAACGTGAGCAGCCCCAATATTATTCTGACCAAGGACACATATAATATGGTAAGGGTATCATAGTGTTGAATGACCCTGTCGAAAGGTAGTGACAGATCTCACTTATCAAGGTTATTGGGTGACAACCTAGTGTAACACATAGGTGCTTGCTGTAGGCAAGTTTACTAGATTGACCCATCGAAGGATTCCATATAGATGGTAACCCCAGTGTCTATAGAATAAATCCTCTAACGAGTGGTGGTGCATGTGATCCTTAGACTTGAGATCACCGGAGCACCTTGTGCACCGATTGGTATAGTTTGACATTAGCCTAACGCAGTTCTATTCAGAGCTATCAATACGGTAGTGATTGGCTGCATCCAGGAGTGTATCAAGACTATGGTGGATCAAAGAGGATTCATCACTCCTGGGTACGGGAGAAGTTATCTCATGGAGAAATTTAGTAAATGGCAACGACAAAGACACTAAAACTGTGGCCACAGTGGGATTGAGTTGTTGCTTAATCTAATTTATTATTCCGATCATTGGTCCAGTAACTGAATACATATATATCGAGAATAATTGAGGTTGATACTATTTATGTACCTCAATTTGATGAGATAACAGATGATGAAAGGATTTGATTGCATAGTAACCATATCATTGATAGGTAGCTACTTCATTGAATCCGAATATATCGGGTGGCCATAATTAAATCTGTGTGTAGTGAGACGATTAATTGGTGTTAATTGCAATACTACACACTGTCGGTATGATGAGGAGCATACGGGTCACACACATAGAAGATAATTTAAGAATCAGTTTGTGCAAGGGGCATTTTTGTCCTTTAGGGTGAAAGGGTATTTTGGTAATCTCACAGTGCAATTAAATTTGCTAAGGTTGTTGCCTATATTTAATTTGATATTAAAATTAAATGAGTGAGATTATATTTAAATATATGTACACATATATTTAAATGGATTATTATTATTGTTAAATGTTACTATATTTCTATAAATATATTAATTGAGTTTAATTGAAATAATAATAATTAAAATAAAATATTATGATTGGCAGTGTTTGGACATAGGGGCTATTTGGGTTGAAGCCCAAGCCTATTCCTCATTGGAATAGGGTTTCACATGCACTATATAAGTGCATGTGTTTTGTGATTTTAGAAGAGAGAAATATAACAAGTATTCAATCATTTTTCATTGAAAGAAAAACACAGCCCTCTCCCAAGTCTCATGCCACCCTTGGTTCATTGAATCAAAGTTTCTTTGATTCTTGATTTGGTTCTTGAAGCTAAAGAGGATCTAGCAAATATCTTTTTAGCTCTTCGCGTTATCTTCGTGTGGATTACTACTAGTTCGATCCTATTCTTGGATCGGTAGCGAAAAGATTCAGAGACAAGTTTGAAGAAGCCTCCAAACGTGCTCATGAACATTAATCTTTACTTTGATTGTTCATATTACTACAGATTTTTGATTTAACATATTATCTGTACCCTGATCTTGGTTTAATGGAAACGATCTATGCTTTACCACTGCCATGAGTTAGATCGTTTCCTAACAGTGGTATCAAAGCCTAGGGTTCCAGATTTTACAGTTTAATGTATGGTTGATAACACATGTATTTGATTGATAATATGTTGCTTTGTTAAATCTGTATAAAATTTGCCTTGAGAGCATGTTTTAAGTAATCAATATACTTGATTAATTTAATTTATCTGCAAGATTGGTATATTGAAATCTGGATTTTTGTTAAGATCTTATGATTAGATTGATTGCAAAATCTGTTTGGCATTTTGTTTATTGCTGGTTGAACTGATCTGTTACAAATCAGTGCACACTCGTTGCGGTGATCATTGTTTGGCGTACTCGCTGATAAAAACAGTGCTTGTCGTGATGATATAACCCATCGCTGCAATGATCGTCCTTAGCACGATCACTGATTGAATATCAGTGTTCGCCGCGATGATATAACTCATCACCGCGGCAATTGTAGTCTAAGGTGCACACTAACGTAAATCAGCGCTCGTCGCGGCGATAAACCCCATCATCGCGGTGATCGCACGTGGTGCATGTATGCGATGATAACCAGCACACACTGCGGCGATATAACCCATCGCCGCGGTGAGTGTACTTTCAAGTGCGTAGGGGCCAAAGTGAAAACTTTCAAAACTTTTGGACCAAATGTAGATTTACAGATTGTCAAGGGGTAATTGATAATTCACTCACCCAATTCAAAAATTGATTGTTTTTTAATGTATGCAATGTCCTTGTTTGAATATGTCATGGTGCCCGGTACATGAGCCTTAAGACCTATGGTGAATGTTTTAAAATTTTTTTGGGTATGTATGATTGTAATTTTTAAAATAGGCCTTACGTGTCCTGCCTCTCTTCCCCTTCTTGATGTACATTCTCTTCTCATCTCATTCCTCTCGAATGTAAATCGAGGTTTCTAAATTTATTGATGTAAAATTAGTTTGAGATTAACTTCATTGTAAATTTAGTATGATGTTTTTGTAATGTACTTGAAGACGGAGCAAAGGAAGAGGCAATCATACTAGAAGAATCAAGATATTTATTACAGGACCCCTAGGTAACCCACTGATTCCTCTAGCCCAAGGAAT